CCAGTCCTTCATCATCTTAAACGAAATAGAGTGAATGCAGCTCATATTACTGATTTACTGGTAGTCTCGACACTCTACTTGTATACAATAAATGATGGAATGCCTTAGTAATATCGCAAAATTAAATAAAAAAGGTAACCATTTGCAGCTACCCTTTATCTTGTCTTAGTAAATCAGTAAGATTTTTCGATAAACATAGTTTCTCACACTAACAATGCCCATCATTTAGAGGCAGAATAAAGCTCATAATGGGTTTGATGAAATCACAGGATGGTGAGCCTATAACATCTTCGCTGAATCCAACAGTATTCATTTAAAGGCGATCCTCCTTCGATTTCGGATAAGGCAAATTAGCGAATTTATTCCGATCAACTTATCCTTCGAAATAAAGATTATACTCATAGATAGGAATATAACCAATATATCGAGTATGTATATCCAACTACTGGGCTTGCAGCTGATAACAATCAACAACATACATATAAAGACCAAGTTGTTGTGGCCTCTATTTTGGTCGCAGTCTCCTCTTGACTTATAGAAGCAGTCCATCCTATTTTTCGCAAGTGAAGTCAATCTCTTGAACAACTTTCTGACAAATCACTCCTCTTTCTGCCCTGACACACCTGCCTACTCCCTACCCTCCTATCTTACTCCCCCCCCTATCATAACTTCTGACCTGTTTACATTCTACTATTCAAAAGTTGTGCCCTTTTTGGCGAGTTTAATGTGACATCATCACACTTGCCAATCCAACTAGGGCCTCCTATCCGGATGGAGCGTCTGGGAATGTGACAAGTACACAGTCCGACGCTGGGAATTATGAAAACTACTATGCCTTCGGACAAGGTGTGGCTGACTAAGTCCACTTGACAATAAGACCAGGTTGAGAAAATGAGGTCAGCCCACTTTTATACATCGAAAGAAGACTGCGACCATACCAAAGGCCCCACCATCTTGTTCAATATATCTTCGATTATACCATGGTAGTAAAATTGCCACACAATATACTGAATACAGCCGGATAAAAAAGACAATTGTAAGTCAAGGTTGTCATTTGACCTTTTTAACCGTTGTGAACATAATTATATCATTCCTGGACTCTGTAGCTTTAAGAGCCATTACTATTAGGTTAGGGTTAATGCGATTCTTGACCAGGCCTCCATTCAGAAGTTAGAAAAAACTTATGATATGGTGAGGAATAAATTATTTAAGTTTGTAGAGACTAAGTCAAAGCTCCAGCGTGATATGGCCAAGTTTATGACTCAGGATGACTTTCGAAAACCCCAGAGTATGTCCAACAAGTCATAATTAAAGTTGATTAGGCATGTGATTATAAGAAAACCCAAGTTAAACACAGGACGCCCAGTTGATGTGGTTAGGTGAGCTATCAACGCTTATTGATCAGTACGAGAATCGGGATAAAGTAGTAAATTTAGCCTCGGTTACTATTGATCCCGAAACCACTACTATCCAAAAGAAGAGGCTGAACTTTCCCCTTCGGAATAACTTGCTTCGTCGACAATCCCACCACAGAATGTGCTATGGGAAAATGCATGGACTTCCTTAAAATTTGCATCTGCCCTGTGACCCAATGGCACTCGTTGCAATGTGGCGTAGTGATTAACGTGTTGAGATTAAACGCTGCACTGTCGTGGTTGAACTCTCGCTGAAGGTGTTGATAAGACCTAGTCGAGGTCGAAACTGCAGTCAACCCTGGTTGAGAACACATTTTGGGAAAGCAGGGATATGTGAACTTCGATGAAAACGTATTCATATAATTGCGGGAAAATTCAACAACCAGTCTTTTAACACCTTGACCGAAATATGGTGAATACATCTCACATAATTGATTTACTGATAGTCTCGAAACTCTCCTTATAAACGAAAAATTCATATGAATTTTCTCAAAGGGTAAAAAATATGGCACTGTAAGAAACAGAATTAATGGCAAGTTTTGAGGTAAAATCTATTCAAACCAATAACTCTGGAAAAAAGTTATAACGGCCCTGCTGGAGATCTTGGACCGAGGAAAGGCACGACTAAATAGCTTGGCAACAAGTATTACCTATTTCACATTCAACGGAAAAATCTATAAACAAATATTTTGACTTCATATGGGATCACCGCTCTCACCTCTTTTGACCAACTTAATATTGAATAAATTTAAAACAAACTTCAAGATGGCCCTGTGGCAACCAAGTGCTGCCCTCGGTACTTGGATGACTCCTTCGCACTGATCACATGGAAGAGAAAACTGGAAAATTTCCCGAGGTTTATAAACCAGATTGATGAAAGGATCAAATTCACAACGGAAGTAGAGGAAAGTGACCGGTTACCTTTCCTGGTTGTTGAAGTCATTCGCTCGAATTAGACGCTATTGAGGAGGTTGTTCAGAAGGAAATAACATGCTGAGATAAAACTCAATTTAAAGTCTCATCACAACTACAAGCCAAGTGAATGCAGACAAGGCAAAGTAGTGGTCGTATTTAAATAACTGGTAGATAATTGCTTACCAATACTCTTCTGCGGTCTAGATGAAGATCAGAGTAAAGAATGGGAAGTGGTCTGTCCAAATTAGACTCCACAACTTGGGTCAGCCAATCAAGAGGCCACAAATGATCTGTTCTGAAATGGATAAGCCGGTTAATACTTGAGCTGGAAGGCAATATGCCTGGGTCGCTCGGGTCATTCATCCGGACATGAAGCTGTTGAAAGTGAACGGGGAAGATGTTCATGTCTAGAGACTCAACGAACGCGACTCCATACTGACTGGCGAGATGAACAAGTGCACAAAAGTCTGTCTCGAGTGATTCCAGAGCACGTTCTATGGTTTGTGGAGAATAAGCTGAAAATTTGGAAAGATTACGTCTAAATGCATATTCAAGTAATTACTTCCGTGTGTATTAAAACAGATAATATAATTAATAGGCGGCTACAGCTGGCTAGCAAGCGACCAGGATAAAATATGCATAAAAATGACTATAAATATATACTAAATTGAAGCCTGAAATAGCGTATGAGGCACAAGCAGATCAAGGGGATGGGCTGCGAGGATATCTTAGGAAATAAAATTTTGCAGTGTTCTCATTTAAAGTTATTTTACCTTGTTCTTGCAATTTGTTGAAACTGTCAAGAAGACACCTTGTCCAGAGTCTATAGTATGCATGATAATTTCCAGAGTCGGATCGTGGACTTGGTACATTCCCAGACGTTTCACCGGTATTACTTCCATTTCGAGTAGAAGTGTTGGGTGAAGAGATTCGAAGGTCAGTTTCACCAGAAGACGACGGC